TTGAGTCGAGTTTAAAATTTATATAACTCAAATCAAATCAAATCGAAAAATTTTATAAAATAAATTTGACTCGACTCAACTTGAAAAAAACGAGTTGAATAGAGTTGATCTTTAAACTCGACTCGACTCGACTCATTCAGAACTCTATGTAACATGTCCAATATATAGCTATTTAACAATTTTTTAGTAATAATTATATATATATTATATATTTATTATATTTAGATTATTCTTAATACAATTAGCAAATTATTTATCATATTAATAATCTTCTATTTCAGTAGACTTTCTTTGCCTTTTTGATCAGTAGTAGCTCTTTCCTAATATTAGTTGCAATATACAATATAATATTAGTTCTCAAATATAAAAATATAAAACGAATTATTTCATTTACTTCAGGTATTGTCGTGAAAAATTTGTTCATTTTGTCAAGTTGCATTTCGTTCATTCTAGCTGATACTATAATAGATGATTCACTTCTTTCGTCATAATCTTCAATCTCTTCTGCAAAAAACAGGTTGGTTAAATAGTCTTTATCATTCATATTATCTTTTGCATCAAAATAATCATAATTAATAAATTCATTCATCTCATTTGTTTCATCCGTTTCATAATATTTGTTATTATTGTTTGCCTACTCAGATACATTTTCAGGTGGTTTACTTGAGGTAAAGTACATCTTATCATTATATATGTGTTCCCATTGCTTCTTGTTATAAACCTGCTATTCGGCTATTAGATCTAACACGCCTTAAAGCAATGACTTCAACTATCAAAAGCAAAGATTAAAACAAATAAATATTATATGAACATATATTATAAAATAATATCCATCTTTTGTGAGCATCACGGATGATTATAGACGTAAAAAATTTTCTTTTCTTTAGAGTTCTTTATACGATATTCATCTTTTAAATCAGATTGTTCAGGTGAGTGATAATTGTTTTGTTGTAGAATAAATATGACTTCGTTCTTGTTAAATCCTTAAACACTTTTATCATGCATCTTAAACAAGTTAAATGCCGCTTTTATTCGTCTATTTTTTTTTCTGACGAATATTATTAACAATAGTGTTAAAATAAATGTAATAAGTATATATCTAATCAATTAAATATTTACCTCAATAAGATGAGTATTGGCATGCAACCTTCTATCGACTTTTCCTAATATTTCAGCTTTTCTTTTCTTTAATCTATCTCTACAGAGTTTGTAAATGGCTTTAAACCAATTAGACAGTTAAGTGACTGATGGATTGAAGACATCTTTTATCATTCTTTTCAATTCTAGGATCAGATTCTCGTATACAGTTGTCGCTTATTCAGAGAATGTTTTCTCATAATTCAGTTAATATTCAACCAATATCTGTCCTTTAATCAGATTTTTCATCTCAGTCTATAGCAGAAAAGTTACATGTAATATATATTTAAATAATTAAACTGGTCATATATTAAAAAATACTTACTTTAGCCCTATAGCATTAGATTCATCTGGAAATATTGGTCTGTCCACACTTGACATCCTTGGCAACTCATAAGGATTATTTCTGAGAACCTGAACTTTGCAAAAATGTGACAATTCTGTTTTTAATTTATCATTTTCAGCTATTAGCTTGTCATTTTTATTTTTAAATTATTCGTTGAAGGTTCGAATCACAGAGTTTTCTTCTTCCAATAACCAAATCCTTTCTTCTAGATTCTTCATATTTCTTCTTAATTCAACTTCTATTTCTCGTTGTTGTTACATTTCAGCTTGCAAATGAATGTTTTTCTTTTTTGAATTCTCTATTTCCGGATTATCTATTTGAATTATTTAGTTTTTATACTTAGAAACATAGATACAATTTAATAAATATCACAATAAAATTAACTTAATTATCACCATATTCATTACTAATCGATCTTAGGATTCTAATATTCGGATATCTCTCGATTAGCTCTCTAGGTTGACATGTTAGAGTGGTTATTTGAAGTACTGTAGGTATTGCTGCAGTTATCAAGTGAATCAGTGCAATTATTGGCTGAGCTGTTACTAGGCAAACTGGTATAGGTGAAGGTTGTTGAACCGGTATAGGTTGTTTAACAAATTTTGGTGGTGAAATTTGTGGAGTAGTTGAAATTTTGCTCAACCTTGTATAATAATATTTTTTTGGTGATTCCATATTAGAAATGTTATTGTTCATGAGAAAAAAAATGTTTGACATAGAAAATTTAACTTATATTTATATTGTTCTTTGTCATTAATCATAATATTTAAAGATTTTGGTAAATTCAACTTATATTGATCATGATTTAATAATATTGACTTAAATTTGACTTAAATTCAACATATTGATTATGATTAGTCGAGTTACTTAAAAATATTAATAAAATTTTAAAAATTCAAATTAAAATTTGACTTATAAAACTGTGTATGTTACAATATCATTTATTATTACTTCATTCATCGTTTTATTAAAATGATAAGAAAATGATCTATTATGGATATTATAAAAAATCATGCAAGCTCTTTAAAATCAAATCCACCTTTCATAGAAGATATTAAAATTACAACAAGAGCATCAATAACAAAGGTTTGATGTTTTTGCGATAAATGTAAAGGAAAACTGGTCAATCTGCACACAAATAATGTACACGAATAAAAGAGACGACTGACTTTTTAAGATCAAGGCAGTTAGTACATTTACTTATTAATAAATCACCAATATCACAATTAATAGTCAAACCAGTTGACAAGGAATATCTAACTCAACAATTAATAATTGATGATAATGATGCACTAGAAGAAATAATTGATGATAACATATTAGAAGAATAAACTTTTACATTTCTTTTATGTAAAAAGAAAAGAATAGAAACCTTTTGACATATCATCGTGCATAATGAAAGTAATTTTGAAAATTCTGAAGATTCTAATAGCAATTCATCAACTGAAAATGAAAATGAAGATGATACAAATGATGGAGATGATATAAGAGATAGTGAAGATAATAATGAATTTTTAAATGATTTTGAAGATTATTCTCATCCTATGTTTAACATATCAAATGCTTTAGAGTTACCAAAACAAGATCGAGCAATGTGGATTTTAATATGGATAATGAAGTTCAGGTCCAATTTTAGATTACCAGATACCGCAACTGAAGTATTAATAAAATTTGTTAAAATCATATTAAAAGAGTACGAGGATCCTAAATATAAATTATTTTCAAAATACTTATATATGACAAGACAAACTCTAGGCATAGTCGATCAATTCATATATTTTGCAGCTTGTCAAAAATGTCACAAATTATATAAGTAAGATGATTTGATTAATATTCAATAATTGATCATAAAATGTAGCCATGTAGAATTTCCTAATTCAGCTATAAAGCGATTCAAACAATGTCAAATTCCTTTAGTGAAACAGATTAATTTAAACAATAGTATATCATTCAGGCCTGAATTAGTCTATCCAGTCATAACCAATATCAACTTTTGAATATATTTCTTTGACCAGGATTTAAAAATTCCTTATGATATTGGACTAATCGTTCACAATATAATAATATCTTATCAGATGTTATGATGGTCAGGTATAGTGAAATTTCAAGGAATTGTCTGAAAAAGACTCGAACTATTTTTTTCGACTGGAGAAGGCTGACAATCATCTTAGATTAATCATTAATTTGGACTAGTTCCAGCCTTATGACAAAGCAACCTATAGTACAGGAGTTTTATACGCTATATTATGTAATTTACCTCGTAATATTCAGTTTCAGCCTGAAAATATAATTATACTTAATATATTACCAGGATTTAATAAGGTTAGTCTACATAAGATAGATAAACCACTATCTTTCACCTATCCCTTCGTCTGTAATGCAGGCAAATTTGCCTGCGAACATAAAAAAAAAGTATTAATTTTTTAATAAAAAATAAAATGTTAATGTTAATAATATAATTATTATATAAAAAATATAGTTTAATATATATTTTATCAACTTTATTAGAAGAAATTTA